ACCTCTTAGTTGGAAACCTAAGCTCTCAACTAACAGACCAAGATGAGATGAAGTCACCCAAAAATTAGGGGTGGATCTATCTTCTTTTTTTAGGGTGGACAAAATTTTAGTTAATTAGACATCAACAATAATAATAATAATAACATTAAATATTAATAATAACAAAATAATTTTAAAAAAAATCTAATCAATGTAATGCTATTAAATTTATAAGAGGGAATTTTATCATTTATCTTTCAATTAAATATTTGGAATGTTGAATGCGATTGGGAAGAAGACGGCTGTGAGGCGGTGACGTCTTGAACGTTTAATGAGAGAATTGCGAAAGCGATTGCGAAGTGTGAACTTGCAGGATGGGCAACGACTAGGGGTGTCAATTCGGGTCAACAGGTCGGGTTCGGGTCGAACCCGGAACTGACCTGACACTATTCGCTGTGATTATAATATTAGGAGGAAAAATTCTTTTGAGGAGGAGCAAAATATAAAAAATCTCCAACTAATACATTTTTTTTTATTGAGGGTGGGTATGCCCACCTTGACATCAAGGGGGGTCTGCCCATACCAAGAATTCGAGCTCCCCATACATGGTTTACTCTCCTTTAGAGTAAACCAAGCATAAAACTTTGGACTCAACTAATTCTACTTAATTTTCATACTACTTTAAGTAGTATGAAAATTATGAGATTTTATTAATTATTTCTACAGCATCATTTTCAAGGAACAAGAAAATTTTTTTTTTTAATATTCAAAGAACTTGAAGATATTGCAACTGATTAAATATAAGATAGCTCACACCGTGAAAATAAAATAGCTAAATGTAATTTGTTTATTTACAAAAATAAATATTTTCTAAGCCCACGGCCACACTCTCCTTCCAATTTGGACTTTATTTGCATGGAGTCAAAGCTCTACAAATAATATTTTTTTTGCATGATATAAGCGAACTTGTCATCCATAATTTTAATATGGACAATAATAAAGACACATCATTTATTTTAATGCCAACAAGATTTTGTGTGGGATAATTTTTTTGGTGTTTTATTTTTCATAAATTATAATTATAGTTTTTGTTTGACTATTATTATTTTTAGTTTCATTTAAGGAATTTTTGTGATTTAAAGCTGCTTTTTATAATAGCTTTCAAAAAAGCTGCTTTCAATACAATAACTTTTTAACCACTTTTATAAGCTTTGTTTGAGATAAGTTTCTTAGGCTTGGTTTGGGACGGCTTTTTTTTTGCTCACGCTTCTAGTTCGGATTCCTCTGTAGATTGTCGGCATGGAAGAGAAAACACTCACCAGAATCCTCAAGAGAGTCGCCGCCGACTTCCCACTCCGAACGGCCCTCTCCGTTCCCGGCAAGCTCGAAATCACCCACAGCCGTCTCAACGACCTCGCCGACTACGCCGCCTGCCGCCTCGCCGCCGCCGGCGTTCGCCCTGGTGATGTCATAGCCCTCACTTTCCCAAACACGATAGAGGTACCGTTTTTGCTTTTCGTCAAATTCGTTTTCCCCAATATAATTAATCTTTAATTCGTTCGTCATTTATACTGAGCAGTTCGTGATCATGTTCTTGGGGGTAATCCGCGTGCGGGCGACGGCCGCGCCGCTTAATCCTGTTTACACTCAAGAAGAATTCGAATTCTTTCTCTCCGATTCAGGATCAAAACGGCTCGTCACGAACAAGGAAGGAAACGCGGCGGCGGAGGCCGCTGCTGCTAAGCTCGGCATCCCCTGCGCCACCGCCGCCTTCCGCGAGCCCTCTTCTGATATCTTTGAGATCGCCGGGATGTCCCCGGCGATCGGCGTCTGTGGCAAGGCCTCGGTCGCCGGATTTGTGAATGAGCCCTCCGACGTGGCACTCTTCCTTCACACCTCCGGCACCACGAGCAAGCCCAAGGGAGTTCCACTAACCCAGCAGAACCTCGCCGCCTCCGTCGATAACATCCGGTCCGTCTACCGGCTCACGGAGACCGATTCGACCCTGGTCGTCCTCCCCCTCTTCCACGTCCACGGCCTCATCGCTGGCCTCCTCGCCTCCCTCTCCGCCGTTTCCCTCCCCGCATCCGGCCGGTTCTCCGCGTCCTCCTTCTGGTCCCACATGCGCTCCATCGGTGCAACGTGGTACACGGCGGTCCCCACCGTTCACCAGATCCTTCTCGACCGTCACCTAGCTTCCCCCGAACCGGACTACCCACGGCTCCGCTTCATCCGCATACGGATCGAATCAAAGAGCTTATTAACCGAGGAGGTAATGAATAAAATAATAATATAATCTTCATTTTAAAATCAAAATAAAATAATAAATTACGATACAAAAATCGAGAATTCGAGATTCCAAACTTTAGATTCTTTTTTTAATGATTTAAAATATAATAATAAAGGAACTCTCAATTCGTGTTCTATTATTTTTTTTTTTTCAATTCGTGTTCTATTTTTCTTGAGTTGTAGCGTCTCTTACGTCGGGCCCAATCAAATGTATGTGATGGATGTCATTTCTCGGTCAGTCAAGGATTAGTCACGTCGCCCAGCATCCTTTCGAGAGTGGCACTAGGTGGAATTGAATATGGATTGGGAGGTTACTAACCACGCCAGTCTGCCAACCCAGTTAAGCCAGATAGGATATACAAAATGGATCTTAATTGACCTTTTGAGTCTAAATTGGGATTAATTTTATAAAATCGAGGGATAACATTAAGATCAATTTTCTATCACAACAATAGCTTAGGTAATTATTTTGGATTAATTTTCAATAATCGATGGAATAAATTAGGAGAACTTGATATTATGAATAAATTATTCATATATGATTTTTTTTTCCTAAACAAATTTTTTTTGCACCAATTATTTTTATTTTCTTGCATTTGGCAAAGTGTGCAACATTTGTAAGATATTTTATAAATTGGATCGCCAATTTGTTGCTTAGATGAAAATTTTGTTGAAATTTTTTTATTTTTTCAGTTATTGTTTTCTATTAAGAGTTCTATTTTATCATAGAAATCAAAATGAAATAAAAAATTTATATATTCCCCAAATAAGTTAAATAATTTTTAAATTTATTTTTGTATAATTTATATGAAAATTTTGTAAAACAGCAAATTTATTAATTTTATTGTTTAATTGGATGCACCAGCTTGAAATTTTTTAAATTTAAAACTTTTTTTAAATAGTTTTTAAAATTTATTTAATTTTCATGCAGGAATAAATAAAAAAATTATGAAATTTTAAAAAATATTTTTAATCTGTCAATTTAATGAAGAAACTAGAAATACCCTTTGATTGATAATGGACGGTGGATTTGGGGTTTTGTCAGGAGAGAAGATATCCCCCCATTGAGGTTGACGCTGTACTGCTCTCACATCCAGCAGTAGCAGAAGCAGTAGCGTTCGCCGTGCCAGATGACAAATATGGGGAAGAAGTATATTTTTTTAAGAAAAATTTATGTCAGATATTATTATTTTTTAAAATATATTTGTGGCATAAAATTTTTAAATTCAATATTTCAAGGTTTGGTTTGGGACTGGCTTGCTTACAAAAATTTTAAGCAATTTTTTAGTAAAAAATTAAAATATTGATACTAAAAAGTTATTTTAATAAGCAATAAAAAAGTTGTCCCAAATGAAACGTAAGTTGAGCTATGTGCCAAATATTATTGATCAAAATATTATTGAATTTTTATTTTATGATGAGAATAAAATAAAATAAAAATATATTAAGATGAGCTCCAAAATTAATGTACAATATAATCAGCATTGAACTTATGACAAATTTAATAATTTTTTAAATTCACTTTATTTCAATTTAATTATTATTTAAAATAATTAATTGATAATTAATGTATTTTATTCATCTCATAATAATTCTAAAAATATTAAATAGAAAGAAGTTTTAGATCAAATATTATGAGCCAGTTTTATTTAGTTCTCCAAAAATTAAACCCACTAAAATTGTCAACACGAAGGCACAGAGCATCAACAGGATCTTCCAAGCAGCCCAAAGAACATATACCATGACGAACCAATCAAAAGGTCTTCCAAATAAACCAAGAAGGCAGCACCAACAAGTTAATCAACCCGACCATGTCTGCCCCTCCCACGAGCTCTACCGCGAGAGGCACCAGAAATAAGAGGTAAATCACGCAACACGGCAAAAGAATTGCTAGCAACCTCATCCCCAGACGATTCCAAAGAAACAGAATCATAATCATAATCGGACGCACCCTGAAGCCAATCCAATTGAACACGAGCATCCAATCCCGAATTGTCCCCCACATGATACACTAAGCTTGGAGGATCAATTAACATAATAGGTACATCCACAAAGTTGTTATTAACTAAACAATCGTTCACAATAGGAGGCGAGCTGGAGGTAGCAGAAACCTCACCACCATCCGCACCCAAATTCTCAGAAGGAAGAGTAGACTCAGTCGGGCGATCCAAAACAACATGATTTAAAGAAATATCACCCAAAATAGCCGGGGCAGACAACACCGACACCAAGGGACCAACATAAACATGACCATCAGCACTAAAACAAGGATGAGGGGAGGCAGCAATACGATCTAAAGTGGCCACATTAAAACCTTGAGGGATAAAAGGTAAAGCGTCAGGGGACAAAACATCAACACCATTAATCTTACCACCTGAAATATTCTCATCATTATCCACATCAATAGCCACATTTTCAACAGCTAAGATAGACGGAAGGGAATCCACATTGACTAACTGAACCACAGGCTCCACACACTAAGCAATAGGCAAAGAAATGGGTTCAACAGAGAGCACTGGCTCAGCCTCAACAAGAGAAGAAGAGATAATCGATTCATAATTAATAACAACCTTATTAGCAACCTTAGGAGGCACCGGAAAGTCAACCCCAGGTTTACAATTACCAGAAAAATGCCCAAATTTTTTACACGAAGAACAAAAGGGAGGGAAATCCTCCAAAACAACATGCTGTACATATCCAGTAGCTTCAGGGCCTAACCAGACACGATCGAAATAGGATTTATTGACATCTAATTCCACCAACACACGAGCAAGGGACAACCTAAACCCAATTGAAGTACCAGTATCAATTTTTAGAGGCTTTCCAAAAATCAAACCCAAGCCATGAAGAATGCTGGGATAGAAGAGATGGGGGCGCAGCTGAGGAAAAGACACCCAAATGGGGACAACCGGTGACTCGACCCCAATATCCACAAAGGGCGACCATTTGATAAGTTTCATAAAGCAGTTGTAAACTAAGTAAGATCCATGGCAAAAAACCCGATAATAATCAAGATTGTTGTTGAGCTTAATGAGAATATGAGACGAGTCTAGCAAAGTAACGAAAAATTCATCATTCAACTTTAGATTAAAGAAAAACCGTCGAATAGAGTCCAAGGAAGGACGCTTAGATGGGAAAAATCCGACCATAGAGAACTGGAAAGGCGCAGCAAGCGCAGAAATTCCGTGTTCCGAAATCCAAAGAGAGGGTATACCACGAAAAGTGGAAACCCTTAGCTCCGGAAAAATGGGTTCATCAGACTTTCCCGCAAGGACATCTAAAAAAGAACGAGAAGAGGAAGAAAGCCCTAAAAAATCAAGGTCACTAACCTTCGGCGGCATGCTGGCAATGCCGGACAGAAACAAAAGGAA